TTTGGTCTGGGCCCGAGGTGGGCTTAATAGCCGGCGACTACTGTATATACGTATATCAGTGCCCCGTATACAGCGTGTTTACGTACGTAAAGAGCATAAGAGAGAAGTTTGTGCCGTATACTGTGTGGCCAATGTTTGCAAATACTATAAACAAATACAAACATAAGGTTTTTACTTTGCGGATTTTCACCTTTTACGGGGTTCTGGAACGCAACTTCCGTGATCGAGTACAGATCACTTTGCAATTTTACGGTCTCCAGCAGGTCATTAGCACGCTGTAGGGATATTTGGGAGCTGACAATTTCCAGACCCGTAGCTGCTACTGCTTTCTGCTTATGTCTCTGATGATTAATCCTCGACGAATCTCGAAACGTCAGGCGAATAGAAATATTGTCCCAGCGATCGAGTTATCTTTCTCTCAAGTTCCAGAAGCCCCAATTCCAACCATGAGATGTATTATATTTCACATCGCGGCAGGATTTCCTCTTCCAAGAGGTCATTTTCCAACGCCACGTGATTTAATTTGAATTATCAGGCAAATATTTGTTAATCTTCTAGCGTTGGACGCATATAAACTAACGCAATGCAATATCATGCGTTGATGCATATTCAAACTGTTTATTGTAATTAGGAAGATGGCGACAATAGGCAATCCAATCATTTTCTCATATCAACTTCTCGAAACAAAAGGAAAACAGAGTGATTCATAAAGTTAATCCGTACAAAATGGAGCTGCTCCATCGTCATAAACTCCGTACTTACACGAAATACTTGTAATTGGCAGCCGTATCAATGCCCTCAATACCAAGTCGCCGCTTGCCCCATTCGCGTTTTATCAGTTCCACGCGTTTTCTCAGAATGAGAAACTTCTTGATCAATGCATAGGCCACTATTGGGGTTTCCGTGACGCTAAGCTTCGTTTCGACAACTGAAACAAATAGTAGAGAAGAACGTTTAAAGGTTTTTATACAAACAGCTGAAAGAAGTCTAGGTCACGGACTGATTAGGCGCACATCGGTTACTGACATGGGCATGCATGAATAAACATGGTGGGATGACGATACCCCCCAGGTTACGGAGATCGGGCTGGCAACTTTTGGTTCAGTAGATGTCGTCAGCCAGCCACACCCGATCCCAGGTTTGCAGGACTTGGGGTTCGAATCGGCCTTATTTACCTCGTTGATGAACGTTCCTCTGGCCGCTAACGGGATTCCTCTGCCCCACTTTGCCTTGGGTCTTGCCGGAGACCCTGACAGCCGTAACGGGTGGTATTAGTGGGAAGATAGTGTTGTCAGCAAAGGCAAAGGAAAGTGGAATGACCATTTCTGGCTTATTAGCCGTCGTCAGCCAGTCATACCCAGACGCAAGTGGTGCCCCACCCAAGCCTTAAACTCGTAACCTTTAGGCCACGACCTCATTTTCTAGCCCGTTGTCCAGTCTCCCTTGACTTTTATTGCTGTTGTGGCCGATAGCCAATATTGTTGTGTCCGACGTCTTTTTTTCAAGGCTCACCGCCTCAAGGTCATGCGACTTCACAACCAGAGGTCAAACTCGCTGACCTGCAGACGCTTAACCGATTTCTACTCGGGGACACATGTGTGTTGAAATGGATTCGATAAGGCCAAAGTAGACCGGAATGACCATTTCTGGTTTGTTAGCCGTCGTCAGCCAGTCGCACTCAATCTCAAGGTGTCCAGATAGTCGCGGCTGCCCATTTTCTATTTGAACACGCCACTCCGTCAGCCGATGCGGCATGGGCCATTGCGACACAACGCCCATCGGGTAATTTAACAAACACCAATTGGACATCATTTAAACTTGCTCGATAAAACCATAAAAGAAACGGTCATCACCACCTCCCCCCAACTCCAACCTCGCCTCGAGCATGACTGAACGCAATCAACGCGAGCCCTGTCCCCGCCAGTGGCCACTGCTGTCTGAGTCAGCAACTGAGAGGGCTGTGGCCAATACATTTTACCTACAGGTGCCTTTTGTCTTTTGTTACAACTTGTGATTTGGCCTTATTATTGTAGTGCTCCGAGTACCAACACGGATTAGCTACCTATAGTGTCTCCCCCCCTCCTGTAGGTGCTCACTTGATCTTTATGGTAACAGGAATTGGAGCACACTTATCCATTGATATCCGAAGTAAATTGGCAGATGAATCCTCTGGACTTTATTTTTAGCAGGATACAGAATTGGTACCCTACTGCAAATGCGATACCATGCGTTCTCAAACATCAGCAAGAAGCGGTTATTTCAAGTAACGTCAGAAATTATAATGCTTTGCTTTCAATGAAGCATTTATCGTTCTCCAACTGTTAGCTTCCTAGGAGCTTATGTTAGAAGCCCAGCCTAGGCAACTGCCAGCATAACCTCGCAGGCTGTCCTGAGGCCAACTGGCAAAATGATCGCTTTGTCAATGCGGAATGCCGCAAGGTCTTTTGTCTTTGCTGTGACTGTCCCCATGCGATAACCCTAAACCGCTAGACCAGACCG